CGCTCGAGGGGAGGAGGTGGAGAAGTCAGGAGTGGTAGGGTGGCTTGATGGGCACCTGGCAGCCAGTCAAGGTCAACCCACCAGATAGATATAGTCTACTGTTGTTGCAGTGTAGATCTGATAGAATTATAGTCTTTGCTTTGCCCTAGCTTCTCCAATAATTTTTTTCTGGATATTGACTAATTATGCGGTATTCTCCAGTTGTTACTTCACTGGCTTTTAGCAAGTGTTACTGCTTGTAACAGTGGAGGGCTGATAGCTGTAATTAAATCAGAGGCTGGTAGTAGATGCTTGTCTGTTGTTTGATCAGGTGGGGACGGGGAAACATGGATCTGGAAGTAGAGAACCCTCAATTTCAAAATGGAGAGTTGATTTTTTAAAATTTTTTTTTATTGGATATTGTGACCTTGAACAAGTCCCGTAATACCCCTTGATCAGTTTGGCCTTGCTTATTAATTCTGAAACTTTAAAGTGCTCCAACTCATTCATGGTCTCAAATGGGATAGACTATCCAAACTGATATCTATCTATCTAGTTATATAGATAGAAGGCAGAAAAAAATAAGATGAAGCTTTGACACAGTTTATATTAATAAATTGTGTAGTTTCACACCAAAACATCTTTCAGTCATGAACTCTTACCTCCCTCTCTTTTTGATCATAGTGGTTAAGCGCTACCATTATACCATACTTATATATACTACCATACTTATAGCAGAAAACAATTTTTCTCACAAATTTGAGACTTCACAGAATAATTAGCCTTCACCACCACTGAACTCATAGAGGAAAACCTGTCTACATAGTTGTTGTTACCTTCAGGACATAGGCAGGTCAATAGATAACATTTTCCTTTGTCCCATTTTGTGTAGTTATTGTGGAATTTGTTTCCTATTACTGTCATAGTTAATGTGTATGAATTAGTGAAGACTATATTTCACTGAAATACACATATCTGTAGTTTAAACCACCCGTTTTTGAGTTTACTACAGATACTACAGCGTCTCTGATCCTCAGATGCGATCCTCAAATAAGCTTGGAAGAGGAGGTGTGAAATAAATGCTAAACATGATTCATGGAGCAAAAAAAAATGGTCAGAAATCTGATAGTTTATAATTAGCAAACATATCAATTCAAGCTAGGTATTTTTTTAACACTGAATTTTTTGGAGTGGTAGATTAAGTCTTCACAAATGAAACGCAGCTAATTCTCCCTTATACCTTCCAACTTGTGAGCCTTTAATGATTATAAAGAAAAGCTTCTGATTATAGAGTGATGTTTTTCCCTTTCTGTTCCTTCAAGAAGTAAAGAAAAGCCAACTGTATGAAGATCCTAATTTTATCTCTGTTGCCTGTGAACACTGAACTTGAGATAAACTCGTGTCGAGGCTTTAATGGTTTAAAGAACAAATGGGTTTTGTTTGTGGGGTTTTGTTCCCCCTCCTTAGTTCTTCAGTAGATCTGCCTCATAAAAATTTGGAGTTGTTAAGTAGTGGAGAAAAATAATCCACCACAGTGTTGTAGATCTGCAAAACAAGTTTACATTGTTTGATTCAGTGCCTTCAGATGGTCTGTTGTTGTGGTATATTATGAAACGAAGATTTTTCTGCTTGCTTGACTTCCCCGTTTCATGGGAAGGGAAACAATGCTATACTTCATGTTCCCTTAGACCTTCTGTGTATTTACCCAAACTATCCATGGAGAAGTTCTTATTTTGAGCAATATAAGAAAAGCACGTGTTCTGTGCGACACCACATTTTCCTGTCTTTGGTAATTATAACAGTGTACTCTCTTCTGTAGTACATCCTTCCTTTCCTCCATTACAGTTTTTCTGCTTGAGCAACTGACCACAAGATAGGTGGACAGATAGACAGATAGGGAGGGATGTGTGTGTCTGACTGTCTATATATATAAATATATATTGCAGAAGAGTGGTGGTATGGAATACTTGCTGCGACTATTCTACTGCACCCATTTTCTAGTATGGGCAGTCGTCTCTGTTGTAGGACACCAGTGCTGAACAATTCTTCATATATGTGTAGAAGTAAAATTTGAACAAACACAAGACAAATTTGAACTAAATCACATTGTGTAGTTTCCTACATTTACTTAAATGCATTACATTTACCTAACTTGCTTCATTCTGGTTTTTGAAGCGTTATAATTAGATGTATGCTCAAGTTGGTCAAATCAATGGTTTTGGGGGAGGGTCGTTTATTTGATACTTAAATATGAGTTTGGCTATTTTGGCTTGAGATGTTAGCTGTGAGTTTAGGTACTTTAACTGACGTGATAACTGACTGGAGATATGACCCAACACCGTGATGTTGTACAGGCATTTGCTTACTGATCCGTGTTTACAGTGCTGTGGATGCATGTGACCTTTAAAAAAAATCCTTCCTCTCCAAGCCCCCCAAAAGCTCAAGATCTCCCTTACAAAATAAAGGAATAAATTAGGAAAACTAGGTATGTGTGTTTTGCACTGTTAGGCCTTATGAGTTTTGTTGCTTCAGAAGCGTCTTAGACCTGAGCAAGTAAGACTAGGTGTGAAGGGAACAGCCACTGAAAAAGAGAGGGCAAACAGTGTAATGTGTGCTCTTTTTGAAGGATTTGAAAGGAAAAGAGTATCTTTCTTTGTTATCTATATGAACCATATAGTGAACTTTTTCATATTCTGGAAACTAAAACATAATTGTCAGAAGTTGAAATGATTGGACGAAGTGAACTTATTGATGACTGCAGCTGGTACGATACAGGTGTGTCTTTTCTTGCCAGACTTCTGGTAATCAACTCGCACGTACAATCTCTGCTTCCAGTCCTTGTTGTTTCCAAGGCATATGTTCTTCTGTTTATACTGTTTGAAGAGACTCCTGTTGGTGCTTCTTTCTGAAGTGGTGTGGTTTTCCACAGCTCTGCAGATCTCTGAAGTAATAACAAAATGAGACAATATTTCTTTTTGTTAAAGGCTTTTTACTTTGTAAATGTTGGCCGTGGAATTCCTTTTGTGCCTTCACGTGCGGCCTCTGAGGCTTGGAGAAGGCGTGGGTAGCTCTGACGCAGTGAGCACGTCAGCTTCCATAGCATCTGTGGCATCTGGCTGTGGGTGGTTGGAGGATGGCATGCTGGAGACTGTTCCTGTGGAAGAAGCAGGAGGAGGTTATGCTGTTTCTTTTGCAGACTTTCCCATTCTGTGGAAATCCCCAGCATGGAATTTGCAGTCTCTAAACTCTTTGCATTGCAATACAGTTAAATATTTTTATTTTTAGATCACTTTTTATTTAAATAACATAGCTGGAGTTGTACGGGAAGTGTTAAGTGTTCTGACAGATAAATCAATGTTTTAACAAAATTCTAGCAACATTGAAGCATTGTTAAAAAAGCAAGTCTTTACATACCGCTGTTATAATGAAGAGTTTTCTTCCATCCTTTTAATGGATGGATGTAGAATCTGACTGTATCCAGCCTGAGTGATAAGTTGTACTTCTCTTTAGTGGAAACACTGAAGTACAGCAGTCCCTTGACCTGTTGTCATATAAATTAAAGCATACTGTGAAGTACTGGGCAAGCTAGCTGCTTACAGAGGAAAATCCAAGTGCGTGACTTTTTTTTCTTAAGAAGAGGGATCTTGCAGCCTGTGACTTCATATAGTGCAGTGGCCATAATGTTTTATTTTCTCCCTGTATTACTAACATACTGTTGGAAAGTTGAAGTGCAGTCTGCTAAATATGTCTGAAAGACTTTTTTGGCACTTGGAGAAGAAAGTTTCCTGTCACCAATCCAGAAGTAGAAATATAATTTCTGCAATTCCAAAAAAATTGAGATTTAAAAAAAAAACCAACCATATATTAATTTGGAGTGTTGGCAGTTTGATTGAGAAAACAAATAATCAGTGCTGTTTTGGAAAACTATGTATTTTTAGGCCAATTTCCTGAGGAAATGAAGCTTACATGATCATGTTGTCCATCTGCACATGTTGGTCCTTCCTGAAAAATTGTTCAGTCTGTCATCTGGTTTCAGCCAAACTTGAAACTTGAGGTGACATTTTGAAGACGGTTGTTTCTGAATTTTGTGAAAATTCATTGGTAATTAGAGGAAAGAAACCTAAACTTGTGCTCTTGCTGAGCAGAAGAGAGGCAGAACATGGCTGTTGTATGCCGTCAGTAATCAGCTAGTCAGTTTGCACCTTTTACGTTTCTTGTCTCTTGCTGAGAAGGAATATTGTAGAAGCCATGGAGAGTAGAGGGGACTGTTGTAGCAATGGTTGAGTTTACAGGAAGAAAGATACATTTCCATAGCAAAGTGAGGTTTCCTTATTTCCAGTGTGCACAGCAAGATGTGTTGAAGTTTTCCAAACTGAATGGAGTTGCAAAAAGAAGTCACTTCTCTATGTCTGCACTTGGAAACTTTTCCTTTTAAACTGTAGATAGAACAGTTGGTAGAAACCATGCCTGTTCTTTTTGTTGTATTCTGTCTTTAAATGACAGATTTGAAATTAAGGTACGTGAATTTAATCTTACTCATTAAAAAAACAAACAAACAAACAACTTCCTTATAGCTACATTTTAATACTCTGTAGAGGGTAGATTTTATTATATTAAACAAAAACATCATCCCAGTAACCTTTGTAAAGGTAGGGATAAGCTATGTTGTAAAAGCACAACTGACACTTCAGAACTGCTGCTTCACAGATCTCTGCTTCTCTGCAATGTAGGGCTCTGTTAGCAGGTGACAAGTTACAGGCTAAATTTTGACTTCAGCTTCTGGTGTGTGTAGGTGTTTTAACCCCATTTAATGCCACTACAGATCTGTTGTGTTTAAAAGAAAATAAATACTCTCTCTTCCCCGCTCTTTCTCATGTATGTGTATACATACACACATATGCAGGTATGTGTACACTTGTTTCTTTCTTAAGTATTTAGCAGCCAGTGAAGTTTGAGAAGCTGCCATGTGAGTATTTCTGAAGTTGTCCTGGTTTTTAAGTTGACCAATTTCTGTTTTACAGTGCCTGAAAATGACAACAAAGCGGAATTTGTTTGTGCGGCTGGTGCCATGCCGCTGTCTGCGTGGAGAGGAGGAAACAGTCACTACGCTTGATTATTCTCACTGCAGCCTGGAACAGGTGCCTAAGGAGATTTTCACTTTTGAAAAGACCTTGGAAGAACTCTATTTAGATGCTAATCAGATTGAAGAGCTTCCAAAGGTATGTTGGGTGGTTTTCCTTTTAGTTATGTTTATTAACTCTGTTACTTCATCAGCATTGTAGAAGCCGATAGTGTCTAGCTTCCCACTTCAGCTTTTAGGCTGCAGTTTGCCAAAGATTTTAAAGCAAATGTTGGTCCCAGAAGAAGCAGCCCTGGTAGAAGTAATGTTTACGTATTCCAGCTGGACTAGTTTGCTGCATGAATTGGGATGAAACTGCTTAAGCAGCTGATCCAGTCTGAGAGGTACGTAGCCGAAGAGGCAGGCTAATTTATTTCTGTGGCAGTGTCTGCTCAAACTGAGTAACTATTCAAGAAATTGTGGCATTCTGAATCTCTGATAACACATGAAGACTAGAAACAGCAAGATTAAATGTCTTGTTCAGATCTCTGCGCCCACAAAAGATAGCTACAATCCAAAGTATCTATTCACTTGAAGTCCTGCTTTCTTCTTCAATATGTGACCGAAGAGACTTTCTGAAGTATCTCCGATTACTTAAGTTCAAAAACTAGAGAGCTGGAATGCCACTCTGATTACATCTTTATTACAGAAATTAGTATTTGTTGTTTGTTCTGAAATCTGAAGACAAACTGCATGCTGAATTAGTAGTATACTAGAGAAAAGAATGAAAATTTTTGCCAGTGAGACTGTTAAGAAGTACAAAGTGATCATTGCAATAGACTTGTTTCCATTACTAGGTCCTATCTTGGTGGAATTAGAAATTTAGTAGTTAGATGAAAGACTTAATATTTAAAATTGTTTTGTCACAATTGAGTGCAAATCTTCACTGTCATGCAGGACAGCTATGGAATGCTTTGTTAGAATTTTTGGAAGTTTGCTATAACCACTACAGGTGAATGAAACAAATGAGAAAACAAAACAATTTCAGGATAGTAACTTGACAGATATCAGAAGCCGTGGATTCCAGTAAAGCTGACTTAAACCAGCTTGAGTGCTTTTGAAAATCCAGCCTTAAGTGGTCCTGAGAAGCCATCAATGAAAATCTGTATTTGTATGTTGAATAGAGCTAATAACATATAAGTTAAAACCAGACATTTTGTCAAAATCTGTTATAGTTTAGAGCTTCCACTATTTTATTCTTGTCTCTTCCCAGGCAGCTATTTCTTTACTCCAGACTTAGTCACTTTAGGTTTCAGTAGCTTGCTTTTAAAGACTTTGTATCAGCCTTTGAGGTATTTTTTTGTCAGATGATTTCAGAGCTTCATTCCGGTCTTTCATGCTTTATTGGGGAAGAATAAATTGAATACTTAAAAAACAGAATAAAATACCTTTCTAAACAAACATCTTCCTCCCAAACTCATAATTCTCTAAAAAATTCCTTTTAGTAATCTTAAAAGAGGAAGAAAGACTGTACTATAGCGATCAAATGGATGCACGTTGGCATTTTAGACCAGAAGTGGTTAGTCTGCTTTGTCTTCCTTTTCTGTTACATGCCATTTGATTTCATTAGTCAGTTCCTATATGAAATCCAATTTTGATATGTGAGTAAACTGAGAGGTGGGCAGTCTACCACTTGCCTTGGTCTAGTCTAAGATTAAATTAGCCATGCAATTAGAAAGACTGTTTGAACATTTATGTTTTGTTCCTTTTTGCTTTTCTTTGCTGAACTGCAGGGACCTGTAATAGCCTACATTTGCTTCATGTTAATGTGTTTGTACATTATAATGTCATCCATATAGACTTATTTTTGAGAAGCTAAGCATTTTTTTCAGCTTTTAAGTAATTCTGGTCATTATTTTTTACTACACTGTCAATTTTCAAAAGAAAAAAACCCACATATAAATTCAAATACTGTAAAGGAAACAAGCAGAGAGATTAGGGAGTAGTGAAGACATAGTAAAAGTGTTTTATTTAATCATTTGACAGAAAATGTTCTCTTAAAACTATCCATAGAAGATCTGTAAAGGAAGGCCTGTAATTTTTGAAATGATTCTAGCCGATTTGGAACCAGAGTTTCAAGCTGTATATGCCTTTTCCCTAACTCAAGCTTTTGTTTAGTCTCTTAACTCTGAAGAAGGCTTCTAATTAAGCCATCTCAGATGAAAGGTGAGGTACTTATTAGGCTGTCTCCAGCTTTCTGAAGCCTGGTTGAGACATTCCCACTCTTCCCCTTTCCTGTTTGCCCCAGTGGTGTGTTCTTATCCCTGTTTTGGAATCTACTGCCCTTTGTATGCCACAACATAGCTGGTTTGGGGCTGTCTTGTCAACCTGATCACTGAAATGGCCTGTCAGTGTGTGTGGCTTTTTTTTTTAATTATCTTTAATTGCCTCCAGTCTTTTCAGAACTCCAGCATACTTCAAAAATTGGTTCTTACAGTATAACTCCTTAATTTCATTGACTGGCTGAGGGCGCAGCACGAGCAAACTGCAGTGGAGAGAAAGATGGTGGTAGAGAAGGACTTTGCTTTATACAAAGTGCTGGTGTGTAGTCTTAGTTTCAGAAGTGACCGGGCATTTGAAATGCTTTCATCTTGTGTGCTAAATCACATCTGAAAAGGTATTCCATTTATCCCAAGTGCCACGGTGTGCATTTCAGCTGAAAACCTTAAACTGTAGCAGTTTTAGTTTTCCGTCTCACTTTGCTCTTTGGAAGACATTAGAATTCTGCAGTAAAAGAGTCCTTAATTACATGACTTCTGGTGTTTACTAACAGTAATGATGATCTGCTTAATCACTGAATATTCGAACATTAAAAAAGAACAACAACAAAAAAAGGAACAACTGCAAAGTCAACACCATACAAAACTCCCCTCCCCTCCATTTTCCTTTAGGGATCTTGCAATTCCTTGTGCTGCATTTGCTTTCACCTGATTAATTGGGGAAATTTCTAATGATTCCAAGAGTCCAGATTATTGTTTTCAGAGATGAGTTTTAAGTATATATTCTTGTTTGAAGTACTGAAATAAAGGAATGGCTCCAAAACACATGAGCTCATCAAAGTTCTCCTTCCCATATAATATCCTAAGTAAATTGTGACTCTTCAAAGCCTTAATGATATCAACTAGTTCTAACAGGTGCACATTTCTGAGGAATTGGAAACATTAGTAGGCAAGTTAAAGCTCATTCCTTGATCTGTCCATCTTGCTAATTTATGTCTGCTTTTGTTCTGGGGTGGTATCTGCAAGTGTTACATGAATAGGGCTTGTTCAGTGGTCTGTGGTTGAAATAATGGCTTCATAATTGAGAGAAACCCAGGAAATTTTGGTTGAACTAAGCCCATTGCTATGGTGTAGATTGGGATAAATTTTTTTAGTCATAGAACACTTCCTGGTTTTGTATGATCTTTTCTAAGAATTCCAAAAGGAAATAACACCAAGTCCAGGTATTTAGGAATGATCTTACCCAAAAATGTCGGGAAAGGAATATTCATCATAAATTATTCAGATGAACCTTTTCAGCCACTTTCTTACAGATATTTATTTTGTACTATCTGTAAGGTTCCTATATATCATTTGAGGATTTTTCATCCGTTACACTAATATTACTTGCCCTGTTTTGTCAATTTGTAAAGCTTTAGGGTAAGAATCTCAAAGTACCTTGCATACAGGAAGAGATCTGACTCTGAGCTAATATTTGATACAAATTATAATGCATGTATACAGAAGAGATCATACAGTTTTCTATATCCTTAGATCAAACTTTCACTAGTTTTCATCATAATTTTCTTGGATTTTTGTGTACTTGAGCTAGAAAGCATAGAAGGGGAAAAATATTGTAAGATATAACAGAATATAATTTAAACTTTTAGAGAAGATCAATACCTACTCAAATTCTGTGTTGCAGAACTATTTGACTTTAAAAAATGCATCTATCAAGTTTTTTTCTTTTTTGAAGAAACTGGAATTACCTCTGGGGTATCACATGCCATGTCTATTATGGAAAATATTTTGCGATGTTTGCAAGACGATGTGTAACTACAGGTCACAATTTCTGAGATACTGGAAGGAATTTGTAGGAAGTGTTAAGCATATCTGCTGGCTTGTTGTGACTGTTAGCAGTTTTTTGCTTTTCTAAGCATTGTAAACTTAGTCAATTTTGAGTAAAACTAGTTAAATCAAGTTTGTATAGTCAAAGACTCTAAATAGTCTGGCCTTCAAGCTGTGAGGTCAGAAGTTTAAGGGGATTAAAAACAAAAGCTATATAGAGGAAACTCAGAGAAAGTCACACTCACTTTTTTCTTTGTTTCAATAGCAACTTTTTAACTGTCAGTCTCTGCACAAGCTGAGTTTGCCAGACAATGATCTAACCACATTGCCAGCATCCATTGCAAATCTCATTAATCTCAGGGAACTGGATGTCAGCAAGAATGGTAAGTCACTTCACTTACTATATTGGGGTAGCTAAAAGTCAAATCACTGTTGACTGTACAAAGACACTAGTGAAAGTAGTAGCTAGTAAATTTTAAATTACTACTCTAAATCACTGCTTAACATAAAAGATGCTCTTTGATGGTCTGGTTGTGGTATTTAATTGTATCTCTCAAGTTGATTTGTTTGTACTTTGAGATTCATTACTGAAAACTGATATTGTAAAGTATTTTCTATTCTCTCTAGATGCATATGCTCAAATTTGTTACTTTTAGTGGCTTTCCTCATGTTTCGCTATACTACAAGAGAGCACAAGAATTTGCAAATTTTTGCTGGATTCTATTGTTATATTTTGTTTCATATGAGAATTATTTTCAGTTAATTTTAATGAGCTGTCTGAAAATTGTAGTAGGACTTGGCTGCTTTGCTGTCCAGCTCTGGGGATGGTAACCTCTGTCACATGGGGAAAAGTGACTACGGACAATGGCTGGTTCACTTGTCTGACTTGTTAAAAATCTATCATTTTGTGTAAGTCAGCCTTTTATAAATTATGAAACATTGTCAGACAAGTCTTGTATACAAGGGGTTTTATTAATGGTGCTGCTTTGGCAAGCTGGCAGATGTGTGCAGCGGTGAGGAAATTGAAATAACTTACATTGTCATCAGGCTTATTTGTGTGGCTTACTTGAGATTAAAATAGTTCAATCATGCTAATTGGTGAGGATATAACAGCGTTGTCTTACTAATTCGAACTGAAGTAAGAGAACTTCTCCTTGAAATCATACTTGAAAATAAGAATTACATAAATATGCCAAAGATTTTATCATGTTAAATTCATTGTTTTATTTAGACAGCTAACTAATTATGACTCCACAAAGTTAAGTAAGTTCTGCTTTATTAAGAAGGTATTCCAGTTGTTGAGGTATTGGCATTCTCCTTGATTGTCCATTGTAGCCCAGTCTGTACTTAAACTGTTACTTTATTATTTCTGCCTAATGAACGCAGCATTTAGTGTGATAAATTGACCTGATTGTCACTGCTCTGTTCCTGGTACAAGTGGATTAATAGTCTTTCTTAAAGAACATTGGCCTTAAACTTTCATAGTGACACACAACAAAGAAAGAATCATCTTTTTGTCCTAGACTGAACTGTTGAAAGGATTAACTGTTTCCAGCACAAGTTCTCAATGCAGAAGACTTAAAAACAGCAAAAGGGCATTTGAGTTCCAGTGCTGGCAAATTCCTTAGCTTATGTACGTAAATAGGCAGCTGGTCACTTACCAGCTAGAGAGTTACTTGTCCGTCCAAAATGGCGTAACCTTTAGCTAAGCCTTCAGAGAGCTGCTGAAAGAGCATTTGTTCCTCTGAGGCATATGAAGAATTTAAGGAGGCAATAGCTGAACGATACGCTATCCCAGTAAACTGTGAAGCTCTGTTTTCTAGGGGTTGTTTTGTTTTTAGCACCAGGACACAAGCTTATTTAAACTATTATCATGTGCCTGTTCTCAGTCTTATCACGGTTTGGATAGCTTCTCTGCTTAGTATTGCACATCAGAAATAGTCCTGAGCTCATGCGCTTGTTTACTTAGGACATCTTGTCTCCCACTATTCCTGAAAGCTCTGTAAAACTCAAAAAAAACAAATCAGTGTTTTCTTCTGATGTGGATAGAGCTAGATCATGGAGTGCAGATGCCTTTAGGTCAAATACGCATTTAGTTTTAAAGGTTGTATTTTAGAAGGATGGTTAGTTAGACTTCAGTTTTCAAATACCAACATACATGAAATACGATAGGATTTTCATGTAAGTTAGTGGAGCTGTTAGTGGCATAGGCATAAGTGAATGTATTGACCGAAGAGAAGTATTGAATTTTTTAAAGAGCTGATACAAAAATGAAGAATGAAGCTTCAGTTTAAAAATGTGTTCAAGTTACCTCATGAATGGCAGTTTGGCTCACAGAGGGAGACCTGTTGCACAGGAGAGCATCGAGCTTTCCACATAGACCTACATCATACCTGTATATGTGTGTGCGTAATATTTGACGTTCAGATGAAAGATCAAAATGGCAGAAATTCTTCACGGTAGCAGATTTGTTACATAAAAGGTATTAGTCGAAGAAAGCAATCATTATGATGTTTTAGTAGCTCATAAAGGGTCTTGCCTTTTTAATTTCAGATCTAAATGTGTCTAATTTCATATATACAATATATAAAACTATGTAGCAGAGACACAGCAGATGTGCAAGGGTGGATACTTAAGAATATTTAACAATATTTAATCAGAACAAGGATTCATCTAGTCTAGTGTCCTGTGTCCAACAGTGACCAAAAGCAGAAGCCTAGGGAAGATTTAGTGAAGTACAGAAAGCCAGGAGACATGCATGTTTCCCTGTGCGCTCCCATTGTCCATCACCTTCTGTTATTGGGCCTTCTTGAGCCAGACAGGGTGGGGTTTTTATTTAGTAGTCTTCATTTGACTCCTTCTCTGTTAATATGTCTAGACTTTGCATGAAGTGATGTATGTTTCAAGGCATCCGCTGAGTTACAGAGTACAAGCCTCTAATGGTTGTGTGTTGTGGAGCATGCAGAAGTCTTTGTACAAGTGTTTGGTTTGGAATATATTATTCATGGCTGCTGAAGAGGTCATGGCATAGATGTAGCCTAAAGTATCAAACTGCTGCTATATATGCAGCAAGCATGGAACAGAGTTAGTTTTAACTCTGGCTTTAGTCTTGGCAATAGGCAATAAATTCTGTAGTTTTTTGGTAGTGAGTACATCAGTCATCCTTTTATGGCATTTTAACCTGATTCCCAAGGCTATTGTGAACCCGTAGTATCAGAGGTATTCCATTGCTTCTTTCCAGGTACGTTTCATCTTTGAAGCTTTTACCTGAAGCTTGATGCTGTCCTAGTTGCAAAGATGAAATGATACTTGAACCAATGGTAAAATAAACAAACTGCTTTCCTATACCAGAAATTTCATCCAGCATTGTAGAAAGCATCAAGAGATGCACTTTTCTTCCAGTCCTACTGGGTTACATCCTAAAGAGAAGCAGCAGCATACAGAATGTAAGACCTGCATAGGAAAAATGAGTGTTTTATTGATGAAGCTAAAGGAAAATATAAAATTTTGTAATCCTCTATGGCCAGGTTACTTCTGTATCGACAGTTGTACAGGGGAAAAAATGCAACACCCACCCAGAAGACCCACAACACCACTCTTTGCCCCTAAATCTGTCTCTTTCAGGATTTATTAACCTTTAGGGGACAATAATTTCCTCATGGCTCTGGGATGCCAGCCTTAACCTGCACCTGGGACAATGTGGAAGACTGTCATGGAAATATTTTTACCTCTTCTTTGAAGAAGGGGAAGCATTCGTGTACAGTGTATGATGGCGTATATAAATAGACAGAAGAGTTAGCTTTACAGGTTACTAGAATCAAGTGATTTGAAAGGTTGAAGCATATGATGAAGTGACTGCCAGCGAAATCAGACTTTCCTGGAAGCCTGGGAAATGGCCTTGAAATTGCTTGCACCTGTGGAGTTAGCATAGTGGGAAACAGTGAGATGGTCTATTTTTCCCTGCTTGCAGGTGGTGAAAGAAAAACATGGAATTTTTTAAGTTCTGTATTATTCAGGCCTTTGGAGGATTAAATAGCAAGATTAGAAAATAACTGTCAAGACCAAAAGAAACATGGTTATTTTGGAAATAAGAGTATCTTCAGTAGTCTCTTAGATATTAAGGAGTGCTTCTCTTTCACTGTAATATCACAGTGAATTTAAACATGTCAGTTTGTCAGTCTGTATTGCAAGGAATATTCACAGAAAAATACACAAACTAAACCCAAGAAAGCAAATATACACACACACCTCCCAGTGTCCAGACATATCTGCCTATAAAATTATTTTAAGTTATTTTAAAGAATTTTGTTAACAGATGGAAATTTAGATCAAATATGTTTTCTTCAGTGTTTTAAAATCATCTGCTGATTTGGCAAACTCGCTTTAGTACACTGTGTGCCAAAAGTTGGGGAATTGGAAAATGAGAATTCATGAGAGTATCTAGTCCTATGTTGCCCATCTGGTGCATTTAGGAATATGGTTTTTCTAGGAATTGAGAATTATTCATAGTTAATAGGGAGGCAGATCCAAGTTTTATTTTCCGCAGGGAGAAGTAAGAGAGGAAGATCCTGAATACAAAAATAACTTGCTGTAAATTTGCTATTTCTCTGCTTATGTGGGGCGGAGGGATGGGAACGGCAGATAGGAGCAGGAGTTTTATATCATCCATGGTAGTGAAATAAAAGAAAAGAAAATTGATCTGGTGCTGACTCCTGAGTCTGTAGCTTTACTATAATGTATCATCAAATATAGCTCATAAATTTATCCTAAATGTAGGCAGCTATTCTATTTAAAGTTCTTTATTTAAGTGTTTATAATATTTTTTTTCTTAACTTTATTGTCTGTCTTATTAAAGATACTGAATAGGATCTGTCTCTGCAGAATAAAATGATCTCTGTGTGTAAGAGGATGCCAACAGAATAGAATTTCAATGCAGTTAAGGTCTTGAATGTGGGATTTGAGTGTACGTATCTGAAATTCTGAAATAAGTTTAGTACAGATCTCTTCCTGGACTCAAAGAAATTTTTGTAACACAGAAAAGGCATTGCAGACATAATTATGGGGTTTTTGGATGTGGATTTGAATTTAAAGACTGAATGTACCTTTATTTTTGTAAAGGGATGTGCTTTGAGTGACAGTCACCATGTATCAACCAAAAGTGACTGGATAGACAACACTGAATTTGCAGCGCAGGGTGGTAGGGGATGGGGGGGGACACACGACACACACGACACGGGACGGGACGACAAAGCAGCTTTATGTGTTTATGTTCTGGTTTAGTTTCAGGTTACTCTGGGGACTCGACAACGCTCCAGCCATGAATTAGACATAGCTGAAAACCACCTGAACCTTAGTAATTGTCCAAGACAGCATTATGAATAAA